TTCAGGTGTTAATAAACGCTTGTTAATTTTTTGTTCTTATTAATTCTAAACATAAGTTTTAAGTGATAGACAATAGTTATTTGTACTTTTATCTATCATTATCTTCAAATTAATTAAAAATATATAGTGAATCATGATATGCCTATATACGTTGAATATTAATTATTTTTACCAAGAATTTATATCGATATAGTACCATTACTCACCTATCTATTAATATGTATTATTACAATAAATCAACTTTATTAAAAAATGTAACAAAATATCTTTTTTGTAATATTTGATAATAATATTAATTAGAAAATTGTAATTATACATAATATAATATAAAGATGTACAACTATAATAAATATAATAAGACATATGACCAAAAAAAGTTATATACTTAGTATTATGCATTTTTTTTAACAAATTTAAAAGTTATATATAAATATATATGTATATATATATACGTATATATATATATGTGTGTGTGTGTGTGTGAAAGAACAATATAAAGTAAGAAAATATTAAATCTGATACATAATATAAAAATATAATTAAGTTGTAATAGTTATTAATACATATGAAAAAAAATAATAACTAAAAATGTTATAATTAATAAATATAAATATAAAACTTTTAAAACTTGTACATATCGATGTAAACGAGCACGATTGTTACTTTTTTTGTGCTTATTAATATAGGCGTAAGTTTTAGGTTATTGACAATAGTTATTTGTACTTTAATCTATGTAGGTTAGAGATTTTAATTTTTGTAAAAATAAATTGATTATTGTAAATTTAAATAATTTTTTATTTGTTATTAGCTTTTTAATACAATATATAAATATTATATTTCATATAAAAATAATACTTATTTCCATTAATATGTAGGGAAAGTAATTCAATTGAGAAATTAATAGGTAATCTCAACATAAAATAACGAGTGACTTGTAAGAAAATTATATGGACTAAAAAGTAGATATTTTAATATATTTTTAAAAAAAATTATAAACACAATTAATAAATAAAAAAATTACAACATAAACATTTTAATGATTATGAAAGAATACAAAAATTTCATATTATAATGAAAAATCCAACAGTAAGGTATTTCACAGAAAATACCAACAGATATTTCATTGATACAGTTTCTATTGAAAAGATTCACTGGCTATTCCAATGGTGAGTAAATTAAATTACATTGAAATTTTTGTGGATTTAATATCTCAGTTACTAATATTTATTTTTGTGTGGATTTATGTTGGATTTCATTTTTTGGCCATATTTCAACCATTAAAAAAATTGTCACTGAAATTGGAAAAAACAATGAAAGTTCCATTGGAAAACTAGCTGCAGTGGCGAATCCATAATAATTTCATGTTAAGAGTACTATCTAATTAATACAAAAAGTATTGCATCAAAACAATATAATGTCATTACAATTTATAAAGTATACTTTTCTTAATTTGTCAACTTTCTCATATGTAATACTTTTTTTAACACATCATACAATCACAATAAGTTCAATAATATTAAAAAAAAAAAGCATAGTTTTTCTCAATTCGACATAAGATAATCATAAAAAAATAATACATTTTTCAAAATCTTTTTATGAACAAAAATTTTATGTTGTAGTATAGTTGACTCGACAATATAATAGATGATTGTATAAATTACGAATATATAACTAGAATTCTACATACACTTAAAAATGACTTATTTTCTAAAATTAGATAAAAATTATGTCACAAAAGAGAGATAATAAGATATCATCAAGAATAAAAAGAAAAAAGAGAGAAATAGAGCGTAAAATTGTAAACTTTGATATCATATTTTTCTTTAGTTGGGATACTGCATTGATGTTATAATTTTAATAACGTTATGAGTTGAATTAAATTATAATTGGTTGAGTTGTAAATTAATCATTATTTGTCTTTATTCTTTTAATTTTATTTTCTAAATACAAGACATGATTAAAATTATGAAAAATGTTCCCATAATGTTTGTTAGATATCTTATGCTATTTGTTTGGGGATGATGCCAGTTTCGGGACTATTGAACAAACATGGATCTGCACATGATTGCAACAAAATATTTTTGTTATAATTTTCATTGAAAAATTCAAACGAAAATTGTAACGTTGAAATATTCGTTAGAATTGTTGTCGAAATTTTGCTGTAATATGTTTTCATTAGAATTTCATCATTTTTTTTGTAGTAAAAGTATGACTCCAAATCAAACTACAAAATTGGCACTATATATAATATTGTGTGCAGTTAATTGTTTTGAAAATTGTAAATAATGATACAAAATATAACATATTTAATGTAATTATCATTTAATTTATGATAATTAGTAAGCAAAAAAAGTACATATAAGTTGAAAAGTTCTTAAATATTTTATTAGTATTATAATAATTAAAGAAGATGCCAGAATGATGTTCTACTGAAAAGGTAATATTAATACTAAACAAGATGTAAGAATGATGTTCTACGTAATAAAAAAGTAAAACTACACAACGAGAAAGCTTATAACTGACATTCCACTCAAAAAAAAAAAAAATTGATAAAATTAATAAATGTCATATATCAATTGGAGCTAGCGAATGATAAATGTAAAATATACTTGAGATGCACATTTATAAAAAATATATTTATTTTTTTGTCTTAGAAATCGGTATGTTAGTCATAATTTTTTAGTTAAAAAATTAGTTAATTTACACCATTAAATTTGTTAATTTTGAAATACTTTTTTTTTTGTTAGCCTTTTATATGTAATATATCATATTATTTCTTTCTCATGATATTTAATTTTACCAATGTTTTGTAAACAAAATTAAAATAATATAATTATTTATATCGATGTACAATAATATATATATATATATATACCAATACAAATTTAAAATAATAAATAGACCTAAAAGAATCTTATAAAATAATTATAGATCCAGGTTAAATTAATTTTATTAATTATAAAATAATTATAGATCCAGGTTAAATTAATTTTATTAATTATAAAATAATATTAGATAAACTTGTGGTATATTTTTCTGACATAGATTTGAAATATTCATACTAAGGAAAAAGTCAACTAGATGTAATTGTACAACTATTACCAATATTAGATATGCGAATTAAAAGAAAAAAATAAATTGGTTGTATGTTAAACTATTATTCAATTATTGCTTGAAAGGGAACACCATAATGGTTGTAAAATGTTTTTTTTGTGAATATAAACATGAATTATTTACTTAATATTTTATCAGAACATGGAAATAAATTCAAATTTTTTTAATATTATAAAAAATATAAAACTACATTTTTATCAAGTATATTATTACTATCAAACACGTAATAAGAATGCATTGCATATAAATATTCTCTAATTCTTTCAAGAAATAAAATATTATTTGTGAATAAAATAAAAAAACAAACAAGTAAACCAATAGTAATGCAATGAGAAAAAGAAAAATTCTGAATTTTTTTAGAAAAGTATGCATACTAATATCAAGAAACAAAAATCTTTTAAAATTACTACTTTTTTTGTTGCCAGCATTTAAGTATATGTTCTCTATAAGAAATTAGTTCTCATAAATAATGATTCGATATTATCATAAAATAGACCACAAACTTTAATAATGACTTCATAATAATAAAGTTAACAAATGACTAAGAGTATCATAATATAGTATAATTCAAATTCTTCTCATCTGAAATATTTTACTTCTAAATATTGTCTCATTGTTTTATTTTGTTTGGTTATTATTGAAGAATCAATAAAAGATCTTTATCTTGAATTTTGTAAGAATTAGTTATCATACAAAAGATTGGACAATAAATGCAATAAATATTATTAGACACATAAATATTGCAAATTCGAAAGAATATGAAGGTATCTATCTTCCAAATTAATAACACTGAAAAGAGAATGTTTAATACTGATTAAAATATTTTTGAATGTTGAATAAGTTGTCACTTTTTGATAAGAATTTACAATCATAACTGTGTATTGTGCTCGATCATACGCGCAATTGTTTTAGAGTACATATTTTCATGTAATGTGTGATGATTTCAAAAAAATAATTTAGCATCTTCATAGAAGTACATGATTTTGGAAAATCAAATTTTATTTAGAGACGAAATTCGTTCCCACCTCATGGGGTAAGTACCAATTTGTCTATGTGAGGAGAGAGAGAGAGAGAGAGAAATGTAGTAATTTATATACAGTGATTAAAAGAAATATCAAGAATTTTAATGACACAAATATCAAGAAATTTAATGCTACAATTATTTACTTCCCCGAGATACTTATGAACTATTAGTAGAAATACCTTATAATGATCATACAATCATAAAGTTTGACTATATATTTAATTTGCAAAATTAATTAAGAAGAATTTTACAATACTATTGATGTTTTAGAATTCAACGAGTATGAATATTTCTTATGAGAACATCAAAATCAAAATAAAAGAAAATGACTCTTGAATCTAACATAATAATAAATAAATAAAAGAACGCATGATTGAATCTAATAAGGAAGAGAGAGAGAGAGGAGAGGAGAACTGTTACTATGGATCCTTGAAGTTTTTTGTGCCAACAGATCATGCGTGTCAAGCGTGTAGTTTTAACAAGGGGAACTTGGTTTCGAATTGATCTCATTACCTTTTCAATGTTTTATTTTTATCAGTAAACATGTTACATGCATACCATTGTATGTCCAGTNTTTTTTTTTTTTTTTTCTTCAAAGTGAAATATAATTTCAAATATGTAATAACTACTATATCGTTCTTTTTGTTTTTGGTCTTAATGAATTCAGATCATGGCGAGAGAGTTGTGCCCGCATTACAATCCACTCACTTGAGATATATCATATATATTCAGTATAAGTCATTTGCAAAGCATCATATTTATATTGTGATCCACAACATAACAGCAGTATTGAAATAACCAACTGCAATAACCATCAAAATTCTACCAACTTCGTAAACCTGAGAGAGAGAGAGAGAGAGAGAGAGAGAGAGAGAGAGAGAGACTCCATACTTTAAACAATATCATTGTCAATACGGCAGGACATACAGTAGCAATCAACATATTCCAAGGACGTACACTTCATTTTTTTACCTTCTCCTTACAATGAGATGAGTAGTTCAATAATATTCAGTATAGTGAAAAAAGGAGAAAACAAAAAAAACAAGTCTCGGACCTAGCACCAAAAATGAGTCAAGCAGACGATTCCCGAGTTTAGATCCTTCCAATCAACTCAAAATACCAGATTTTGTACATCAAATTCTTTTCCTAAGGTTCATCCAAATGTATATAAATATTATAAATTGCTACCAAGGCATGGTGAAATTAAAATATCAGGGACCAAAAGGAAGCAAGAAAAAGAAATGAGGGAGAAAAAGAAAAAGAACAATAAAGTCGAGAGAGAAAAGAAAGCGTAAAACCTAGTGATGCCTCATGTTTGAGCTACGAAGTGTCAATCCATGCAAAAATTTGGTGTACCCAACCAAACTCAGTTTCCCGTCCCTCCTCAACCAATCCCTGAGCATCGGATGAGCACTGGGCCCCACATTTAACTCCTGCACGACAAATCCAATTTTGAAAGAAAATTATCAACAGTTCCGACAAAAAGAATTCCACAAGGCCATAATCCGANAAAAAAATACCCTAGCCAATTCCTCCACTGATATTGCTCTGTTACCCTCCTGTTCAAAAAACTCGAAAGCTGTGGACGCAATTTGCTCCCAATTTTCGAGGGCCTCCAGCTGATAAGTGCTTATTGCAGCCGCACAAAACTCTTCCAAATCCATCCTTCTAAAAGACAATGGTGCCATCTGGATACCAAAGTCTCACATGAGCTTAGTTATTAGGTTCCACTGCTCGTGAGTTGAGCCACGTGAGATATTAGACCAGTACAGATATTTTATTGTATGAGGTTGATGTATTGATTATTTTGTGACAGGTAATTTTTACCGAATTTAGGATGTCCGGGACCCTAGACATGTTCAGTGCATCAGTAGCATTCCGTGCAAGAGCCTGAAAAATCGAAAAGTGTAATAATCCTTAAGAATCAAATTTTTAATTGTGGAAAACCATACGAAAATAAATAAATAAATAAAGTTAGAAGCTGTGAACAGATAACCTGCAGTGTTTGCAAATAGAAGCTGGAAATCACATAACTCAAGAGTGTTGGGTAAAAGTATGTTATTTCTCAGTGATAATGCCAAATGAGAAGAACCAGAAATCTAAAGCATTAGTCAGCATGAGAACAACTTTATAGTGCATGCAAACACTTCCTTGGATTTAGAAATGGAGAGCAGATGGAGAGGTAAAGCACATGTATTCAAAACCTTTCTAAAGTTCTCGAGAGAGACTCGCCCATCCTCACTAGGCTCCAGAAGCATGAATTGTGCTCTAAGATAAATCAATTCATCCTCAGTCAGAGCTTTTGAGAGAGCCTACAAGCATTTAAAGGAAAAGGGAAATTAATTGAAGTAATTGCCAAGTTTTCTGATTTTGCATCTACCATAACCAATCATTTTTTTTTCATAAACCAACATTTTGATGAAAAACAATTAGAAGCACAAGCAATCAACGTGCTCGAGTGTATGCATGACTGTGTTCCCATAAGATAATTGCCACTTTTTCTGATTTTGCATCTAGTATAACCAGTCAATTTTTCCACATGCCCATATTTTAATGAAAACATGGCTGCAATTAGAAGCAGACGCAGTCAATTTGTGAGCACACACGTGTGTGTGTGTGTGTGTGTGTGCATAATATAATTGCCAAGATTTCTGATTTTAACCTAGAATAACCAATCATTTTTTCCGTATGCGCTATTTTGATTGAAGTGTGGCCACAATTAGAAGCACTAGCAGTCAGTTGTGTGCATAAAATAATTCATACCTTCAGTGCAGCACGTTTGAAAGGAGTAGCGTGTAGATATGACTTCACCAACTTATAGACAAGTATGTCTAGTGGAATAGGATGGCTCTCACTCCGTAACCATGGATGAGCTGCATTTTCAAAGATTTCCAGTTTCATCACAGTGGAATTGGAAGAGTATCATTTATATCATTGCTTTCAACTGGATAACTGTGACTAAATAAAAGATGCTAGCCTAATGTTCTGAAATTGGTTTCTTATACTAACAATTAGTACAAAAATACTAAACAAACAGTTTATTCAATAATTACATTGAAACGCTAGTATACACAAGCACTCACATCCCCATCCCAGTATGAGA